TGACTGTGAGGATCCAAACAGCTCCTGTAACTGAAGCTGCTGAAGCTCCTGAAGCTCCTGAATCTCCTGAAGCTCCTGAAGCTGCTGAAGCTCCTGAAGCTGCTGAAGCTCCTGAAGCTCCTGAAGCTGCTGTGCGCTCACAGAGAGAGGAGCTCATTTCATCACCTGTTCATAAACCCACCGCTCTGAACTAACATGGCAGTAAACCAGGCGACAGAGCACCGATATCTGAGCGCAGAGAAGACACTGCCTGTTTCTTTTTCAGTCACACCCTCCTCTTCCTCCTCCTCCTCCTCCTCCTCCTCCTCCTTCCTGTGTGTCGTCTCAGATTAATGGCCTGTGGAGAGGTGCAGGGGAGGGATGTTTTCCACAGCGTTTCACAGAGTTAATCTCGGCTGCGGCGTGTTGTCAGCACATCCGATGTGGGGCGATTTCCCTCGGGGCAGGCTGGTATCTCTCTTCTTCTCTTTCTTTGTCTATCTCCTTTAACTCCCTCTCTTTAGCTCTTCGAGGGGAGGACACAGACAGAGAAACATGCCATCTGCAAATCATATAACCTGAGGAAGTAGTCACAGAGTCTCCTCAGTCTTTGACCTCTACTCTCATTCATAGCTGAGTACTTTAACTGGAAACATCGAGAAAATCATCTCCAACGATTTCTTCAATCAGTAAATCATTTTTCAACTTTATGCCAAAAACGTTTTTTCTTTATCCCCGTCCCTCAAAGTCCTCTGCACCAGAACCGCCCTCAAACTTTCGTTTCCAGGCTCCGGCTCGTGGGATAAATTAAACATTTTGACAACTTCAACATGGAGTAAGACTGTATTTTTAAAACAGGTGTTAAATCACTCTTTTTAAAACCTTCTCAGATTTTTTTATTTTACCCAACAGAGCAGTAAACATTCCAGACTCACTGAGGTCAAACTAAATTACAGCGGGGGACACACTTAAAGACGTTTTCATCCAGCTTCATCTGGTCAGACTGTGCAAATAAAAGTAAAACAGAGTTTTAGCATGTGGTGCAGAAGAGATAACAGACACAGGTTTAAGGTCATTACACACCGGGGCGAATAAAAAACTCATAAAGTCAACACAAGCTTCCACACCGTCTACGAACTTCTGCAGAGTGAAAAGGCGGCTGTAATTTTGCAAACATTCGCAGGCAAACTTGGTCAAATATAAATCTAAGCTCAGACGTGGCGAGCCGTTTCTCTGAATCAATCAGCAGTTCTTGAAATTGTCTGAGCAACATTCAGAAATGTTGTGGGAATTTCTCGGGATACAATTTAAGCTCCTGGGTTGTTGAATACAGCGCCCCCTTAAGGTCAGTATTGGATGTACCCAGACACTTCGATTACACTTCGATTCTTCTTTTCCTTTTTGTTATTCAATCGTCTTGAGGATGTCGTCGACATTGTTTCTCCTTCCTCTCTCTTCCCCTCTGTTCTCCCTTGGCGTATTTTTATGCGAATATGCGAATTTTATCGTGTCGCACCAAGCTGAAGATTTCACAGTTTTGCATCATTTTTTCGTGTCTCTTCACTAGTTCGCCAGCGGCTCAGATGTTTGATACGCACCGTGACGGCATTTTTCATCAAAAGTTTTGAAAAGTTCGGTTCTGTTTGATTTTATTCTGAATTCTTTAAAGAACATTTGAGATTTGAGATCATGAAGCAGCATCTCCACACTTGATGAAACTCTCTAATTATGACATTTCCAGAAAAGCTACTCTGACATTTTACTAAAAAAATATTTCATATTTCTGATTTCAACACTAAAAATTCTTATTATGAATATTTCCAAATCTAAATTCAAAAGGCAGCTGGAAGAAATTTCTGTGACCTGAATGACCGAGAACCTTCGTGACTATTTTACTGATATTATAAACTTTAACAACTTTTATTTCAGTTTGTTTTTCAGGGTCTCTACATGACCATAAATAAACCTGATCTGAGAGGAAAACCTTGAAACTGCAGCACCAACCTGAGAAGAACAGACCTGTAAAAGTTCAGACGGTTTTGATCAGCTGTGAGGATTTTCTGGACTCTGAAACCGCCTGAAGGACGAGTGTAAAGCTGCAAAGACTTGATGCTGAACCATCTGAGCGAGATCTTAATGCCTGTGAGGAACCTCAACACATCCACCCACAAACCCAGTTTCTTCTACTTTCCCAGGATCAGGTCTTGGTAGGAGCAGCCACTCCTGGATGACTCCAAGGCCAGAGTCAATAATCCCTCCATCAAGCTTATTCATGTAAAGATAGAGAACCTATTTTACTTTATATGACAGAGATCATCTTTTTAGAAGCTCCAGTATTCTTGTTGTGTATTTGTTTGATTTTGCACAGGCAACAACGAGGCTCAGATCACAATCCTGTGTTTTTTTTAAAGCTCTGCAGAAAAGATCCCTGCAGAGAAATAACCTTTTATTTTATTATCGTCCTTTTTTCTTAAATCAAAACTGCTGTTTTAAAGCTTTCAAGGGCAGGAGCGGAGCAGCAACTGTTTCCTGTGAGCTAAAAATCACTGTTTTTGTCAAAGGAGTCTGGGGGCGTTGAAGAAAGCGAAGAAACCGACTGTTTCTGACGGAAATAAACCGTATTTGTCTTTTATCTGAACTTGTCAGCAGAAAAATAACAATGTCTTTGACTAAAGCTGGATATTTTTGTAAAGGTGGTTTATTATCTTTGCGTTTTGACCTCTAGTGTTCACGTGTACGCAGAGTTTTTAGTGCTTTTAAAAGGAAATGCTGTTAAAAGTTCTTGATTTTCTTTGTTCATCAGTTTTTAAGAGATGTAAGATGTACTTTTCAAAATCAGGTAAACAGACAGACTTAAAATCGGTCTTTTGAACCTTTAACCAAACAAGTTTGTAGACCCCTGCCTTACATGCATGTGCACAATGCTTTCCTGTAGTGTTGTGTCATACGCGATTTGTTCAAAAGAACTGAATCTTTTAAGTAAACGTACTGAACCGAATCACTTCCTCAAGTGATTTGTTCGTTTCTCACTTCAGTTAAACTGTCAGCAGGGCAGATGTTACAGCACGCAGCTTTGTCAGCCGAACAGCTGGCGAACGAAGAATCGCATGCACCGACATCTGAATCACTCGGTAAAGGAATCATGCATTGAACTTCACTTTCTGGAATCATTTTTGTAAGACTGCTAAATTGCCATAACAACAACTTGCACACAAAAGGACACAGCATGTAACAAGTAGTGCCTAAAACCTGCAGCATCCTATCATTGCAGCAGTTTGCGAGGAAACGGTTCATGTTCAGTGTGAATTCTTCTAAACGTTCAGTGAACGAATCACTCACTGAGCCCAATTTACTGAGCAGACCTGATAAATAGCAAACCATAGGACAGCAGACTTAAAACATCATGACTTATAAACAAGTTTCATTTTTACAAACCTGTTTAAGCAATACGGACAAACACTCTCGTCTTCTGGTCCCAGAAGCAGAGAACTGAACTGAATCCTGAACCATTCAGCTCTGTATCAGTTCAGGAGGTCGGAGTCACAGGCTCATCCCACCAAGCGCTGAATGATTCAGTGATTTGATGAACGAATCTTTTTAGTGAACTGATTCTAGTGATTCAGTACCTCTAAAAGAACTGCCCATCACTACTTTTTCTGGTTATTTACAAATATTCAAAAACAGCCTGAAAATTTTCTTTTTGACTTATTGGTAAAATTTGGCCTGTTCTTGATTTATGCGAGCGTCCTTTTAGTCTGATTTTCAGCTCAAACTTGAAAACATCCTCAGACAGAAAGTCCAAACTTTTCCACTTGATATTTATTGACTTTTTCAGATTAAATTTGTGGCTCTCATCACTCATTTACCCGTCTTAGAAGTAAGATAAACAAACCCTGACGGGCTTCAACAGCAGTGACATTTAAGGTCTTCTAAGTCCACACCCCCTCCCTCTCTCGGTTACTTCTCGATGCTCCTCTCAGACTTGTTGACACGACGATGTTGTCTGGTCACTTGGCACCTGTTGAACAGAATAATTGGCAGTAGCTTCTCCTCAAAATGCGCGATTCGTTTTGCTCGAAGGACAGCGAGTCCCGGCGTCTGAAAGCCCGTCTGAAAAGAAATTGAATTACTCAGAGAGGAGATGGTGGGGAGGAAAAAGGAGAGCATGAGCGTAATAATAAAGACGAGACAATCAGCGTCTGTCTGAAAATGGATTCCATTTGTGTTGGAGGCACATTTCATTGTAGAGCAGACAATGAGTGACACAGTTCACGGCACTGAATTCATCAATTAATCTGCATCCACCTCCATCCATCCATCCGTCCATTCACTCCCCTCCTCTCTCCTTCCTTTCTATTCTCTCCTCCCTGCATTGTGCTGGATGCAGATCTCATTTTTCATGTTAGCGCTGAGTGGCACCTCTCCATTTTTAATCAAAGACTTCAGGACTAAAGATAGCGCCGAGCTCCAATCCAGTCAAAGAGCTCCGGCTCTGTTATTGAATTATTCCATCAGTTTTCTGTCTCCATCATAAAGAATAGATCCCTTTGTTAGGAAACAGATTCTCATTTGGACCGGCTAAATGGGAGAGCAGGAGAAGAATGGCTCTGTCATGTTACCACCACCCTCATCTCCTGTGTTCATTTGCTGCTGTGCTGGCGCTGAAATTGGCTTTAAATAGGCGCCGAGGATAACATCAGTGTCAGCGGCGAAGCGATTCAATTTAAGGACTCTGCCAGGTGGAAATGTGATGAACCGCATTCGCCCTCAAGATTCAAGAAGAATGATTTGCTATTAGTTTAAAGTGTGGCTTCATTATAGTGTTCAGAGGGAGCAAACAAGTTAAACACAACAGCCGCGCCGCTCACGGGTGTCTCAATCAGAAGGAGCCGAGATGAGAGGCTGGCTTTCCTGGTGGACAAAAGGACCATCATGGCCTCAGATATCCTGAGGCCATGATGGTATCAGCGAGGACGTGAGTAAATGTGGCAGTCAGACAGCTCCTGTGAGAATAAACACAAAAACACACCAAGGGCCAATCCCCATTGTCAGTCTTTCCCTTCATATTTCCCCTTCGTCTACCTCTGCCCCTTGGCCCCAAAGAAATGAGAAGCCATTTGATTCCCGCTATGTCATCATGCCTTGCTGCTTGCTGGCTCTGTCGTTGGCTGATGCGACAATAATGGTAAACAAGTTGGAAAACAACACCGACCCCCAATTTCCACCGCATCCGGAACGGCTACCAGAAGGCCGTATCTGCCGATCGTAGCTGATCGTAACCATTCAAGTTAGTGTGTCTATTTCTACCGACTTCTTTCCATTCCGCTGCGGATTGCCAGACTCCACAGCTGATCACAAGAGTCCTTTCTTCACAGATTAACCCGTGCTGGAAAGGAAGTCGGGCACAGACACAAAATAAAACATCCGGCTTCTTCCGGACGGAGATGAACAAGTCAAAGGTTTATAGATGTCATTTCACCCCGATGACACCATGGATGAGGAGATGCTGATTCTAGAAGTCTAGAAGTAGATTTCCTCCTCTGGAAGGACACAATCTACTGCTTATATGTCTATGTGTCTGTCTTTATAGAGACAACTTGTTATCATGTGATTGCAAATGAATCCGAGGGTTCTTGTGAGTTCCCGTGATTCCTGCTGATCGTAATCTGCCACGAAATTCGCCTCACAAATGGATCCGGTAGGAATTGGCAGATGGTGAAAATTGCCGCCGTTCCAGATTGGAGCCGTTCTGGATGCAGTGAAAATTGGTGGCTACTGTTGTAACGTTTAGCCTGATGTAGCTTCTATGTTAGAGGTTACTTAGCTGTCTGATCAGTCTGTCTAATCCGTCATAAAATGCAGTACATCGTAGTGAAGTCTGTCTGCAGTGAATTTGTCACCCGAGTCTGACATCAGTGTAGCTATCATTAGCTGAAACTTTGTTAGCTAGCTCATCATAATGAGCGATTTTAAACAATTCAAAACATGGCTAATATTTACACGGAGTAGCAAAGGATTGAACTTCTGATAAAAACATAAGTGTCATATCAAAGTCTTACCCCTCCCTTTCAAGTGAGGTCCTGGTTTGTCTTCGTTTCGAGGGCGTAGTCACCCTTTCCCTTAACCTTACAGAGAATTGGGGCAACCCTTTACTATTTGAAGGATGCACCCCTTGGGATACACTTGAGATTGGCCCTAAATTTTAAAAAAATACGGTCATATACTGTAGAAAAACCAGTGGATGTTTAAGATGGTTTTTTTTACATCGTGAACTCAATAAATTAAATACCAAATCCTGGATATGAGATGATCCCAGTGTCTTTCGTTCACTTTAGTACAAAGCATAAAAACGGTGACATTTTCCTTTTCTTTTGTGAGAATCATAGCACTAATTTGGCAAAAACAGACCTGCAGTGTTGGCGGTCTCAACTTCATAATGAGGGACACAACAGGATGAGAAATCTTAGCAGCAAATTCATTTGTGCAAGTTCCCAAATATGCGAAAAAAGATCGAAGCGAATTCGGTAGCTGGTTTACAGCTGATATCCCAGACGTTGGAAAAAGACCCTCACAGTGTCCCTATGATATTTAGTCTTACTGGTCAACTGAAGTGATATAATAATGTTTATATAAAACAAATGGCGTACAAACCCAGACACACATCCACATCTCTTCATCATCTCATCTCCGGAGAAACCACAGCCGTGTTTCTCTCCAGCTTTGGCTCCGTCTCTCCTCCAGCAGCTCGTCTTCCTCCCAGTGATGTCTCTGCATCTTTACTTTGGACCTGGTCCCAGGACAGAGACAGCCAGCAGACTGCAGGTGGTGCAGATCTGATGAAACTTGGACCACAGCTGTGATACTGCCACCGGTGGGAGAGAAAAAGCAGAGGTATTTTTGGACGGGGAAGGATGCTCAATATTTACTGTTTTAAATCTGTTTGTCGGGTTTAGTCAGAGCTAATGTTTGGAAATCTACAATATTTGATTCCACAAACCAAAGAAAATGAATGTTACAACATAATTTACCGCTTTAGTGATCTTCTATGAAGTTAAATAAGAAAATCCAGGTGGTTATGTGGTTTGTTTTCCCATTTTAGTTACATAAGCATGAGCTGCTGGAGCAGGAGAGAGTATTTTATTCATAACAAAGACTGTAGAGCAGGAAAGAGTGGCAAAAAGCACTTCGCAATTAGCCAGTCACATCCCAACAAGCGTACACTCGGAGCCTGGCTGTACGCTCGCTGCTGTGTGTCATAATCGTCAGTGTGTGAAGAGCAAATGAACTTCTGCTCTCACAAGCACAAGAGTGTGTCGGTCTGAAATGAGCTGGAGTGAGGCGCTAAAGAGGCCTGATGCTATTTTCAGAACCTGGTCTAAAGCCTGAAGTCAGGACTCCGACTTATCGAGACGCATCAGTGTCGCTTCTGATATGTTGGATTGGATTTGAGTGTTGATTGGGACACTTGGAGATTTCTTCTCTCATCTCCAATAAAGGGATACCAGAAAACAAGGGCACCCTCATCACTGCCAGAGACTAATCAGAGTTATTTGTGTAACATGTGCCACGAGATAAAAGGTGATAAAAATGACCTGATCAACAAAAACTCTGCTGTCTCAGCGTCTGTTTTCTTCACCGCTTTAAGGATGACTCGATGTTTATTCCAGTTCGATTCCCCGCTTGGTCACATTTCCTCTTCGTCTCCGCCCTTTCTTTTGCGCTTTCTTCCCACTTTTGGCGGTAGGGCAAGCAGAAGGTTTTTTTTTTTGCGTCCTTCTCCATCACAGCTCCTATAGCTAAGCTGCTACGCTACTTTTAGCCGCTCAGAGCTCCGAGGAGGGCTGGGAGAGTGGGAGGGGACAAGTCGGAAACACGGGAGAGGGGTGTGTCGAATACAGCCAGGTGATTGGCTCCTATTGGTCAATGTTTTTTGCAGCCCTGCACCTGCTAAGGTGAACGGATTTTTTCAACTTTTTTCTCTTCACTTTGTGGAGATCGCACTATAGGACCATGATCGCCATATAAACGAGGTTCATTATAATTACCAATTTCTCCAGTCGTCAACGATACCTTTGAATGTTTGATATTTCTTCCCTCAGCTCCAGTGTGGGGATGCCTGAAGACAAGGGCACCCTCATCACTTCCTCCTTCTGGGGCGGCAGTAGCTCAGGAGGTAGAGCGGTCGTCCAATAACCGGAAGGTTGGCGGTTCGATTCCCCCCTAATCCAAGTCTGTCCGTTGTGTCCTTGGGCAAGACACTTGACCCACCTTGCTCCCAGTGTGTGTCCTCCACTGGTGTATGATTGTGAGTGTTGTGTGGTGGTGGTCGGAGAGGCCGTAGGCGCAGAATGGCAGCCACGTTTCCATCACCACCAAAGTGTGACTGTGTGAGCGAATGAATGATGTATCCAATGTAAAGCGCTTTGAGGGTCTCTGATAAAGCGCTATATGAAATCTGATGCATTATTTTTTTTTTTCCTTACATCCACGCTTCACCTTAGCACTGCTAAGGCTTAAAAACTTCAGCCTGAGATGTCAACAAGCTCTCCATCATGCGCACTCTTGAGCGAAGGATTTCTTTTAACACTCCTTTAGTAAATTTAATTTTAACTTTAAAAACATTTTATTTTACTGCACCTCACCCAGATTAGCAAAATGTGTTCAGACCACCTTAATTTACTCATTTAAAGAACCCCCTTTGTCTCAGGGTGTCTATATGATCCATATGTAGGTGTGTGTGTGTGTGTGTGTGTGTGTGTGTGTGTGTGTGTGTGTGTGTGTGTTCAGTGTGTTCAGTGTGTATTTCTGTCTATAAACTGCTTACCTGGAGAAAATGTTGAGGTTGATGAGCCCACCGTGACCCCCATCTCCTTAAGATGTCACCTGCTGACGTGCAGAAAAGTAAGATGGGTTTTTTGGTTGTGTGTGTGTGTGTACCTGCAGTCAGGTTTATCTTGCTGTGGTTTCCTGGATGTTATGGCCTGATTTTGATGATAACCGCCCTCTGTCAGCAGTCTGCAGAAAACCTCCTATAAGCAGTTTTGCTCCTTTAGTAGCAGCATACCCCCAACACATGCTTACACAAACTGCATACACACACTTGCACAAACACACACACACACACACCCTGCTTGTGTATGCTGCTTTACGTTAAGTGTCGGCCTCTCTGTTTGTGGCTGAATGAAGCTGCAGCGCGGCTCCATATTTGCCTGTAATAGTAAATAAACACTGTCTACTTCACGCTGCTGCTGGGATAGAAGGACAACATCTCAGACTGAACACCCGTTTAGTTCCATTTGCATCGTGGGTATTTCTCCTGACAGACGTTAAGATCCAAATTACTATTTCTGTGGGTGAAATGTATCAACCTGAGCCTGAGCATTTAGATATTTCCTGTGCGTTTCCTCGTGTGTGTGTGTATTTTGTGTAAGTGTATGCATGTGTGTGTTTTGCGGCGGCGTCCCGCTGTGCTTCTACACGGCTATTGATCAGGGGATCTGAGGAGCAGCGGTAAGTGGAAGGTAAACAAGCTGCTCGAGACCTGATGGAAGTCTTGTTATAGAGATTTAAAAGCCAGCCCCACGTCTCCGCCTCGTCTGTTGTGAGTGGTTACGGCTCCCTGGATGTATCATGGCTCCTCCGTCAGTGTTGATGCAGAACAGTCAGCAGCAGACCTGATCAAATAAGAATCACATACTCTCTCTTTCTTTACCATTTTTATTTCTTTACTCCCTCAGAGAGAGTTCTGGGTTTGAATGACGGCCGGAGGAGAAGGTGAATAGAGAGGGGAAATGATGCCACAGCTGAGTTGATGAGTTCATAATCTACGAGAAGATGAGAAGTTGCAATCGAGCTGGTTTAACATATTTCTGCACTTTAACCTTCCAGATAACCAAACGCTGAATTGTCTGGGATTATAACACCAATCAGAAGTTAGTGCAGCTCTCCCCTGGATGGACCATCCTGCAGCCTCCAGATTGAGGCTGACTGATGCAGAGCTGCCAATCGTCACGCTTTGAGTGTGACAGTCATGCAATTTGACCAATTCTCACACCACACGCCACACTTGACATTCTTCACGCTTATATTTCTCCATTTAATACTCTGTATTCATGATAGTAACCTTGCCTTGCTGTAGTTCGAGTAACTCTGATTGACCGACCGAGACAACCAATCCCAGACCAATCCATCGGTCCTTTGTGCCTAAATCTAACCAACCAAGGAAGGCTGGTTGGTTGGTTAGACCACGCAATATAAACCAATAAGAAGCAACGTAAGGCGGGTCTTGGCGTCTCTAACTACTTTAACTTTACATACAACAGCGCCGACATTTAAAACCCACTCAATGTTCTCCTAAAGACGGACGGTAGGTTAAGACTCGCATTAGGAAGTCACAGTGCAGGGAGAGCAGCTGACACAGAGGTGAGGACATCAGTCTGAAGTTTTACTGTTTCTGCACAGTTACCTACTAAAGGGCCAAACCAATGTTCATTAGGAGAAACCAGAAACAACAAAACAAATGCAAAGACTGAAATTTGCTGCAAAAAAGACACAAAATGTGTTTACGGTGAATACTAAAGACAATAAAAGATTATTTTTTAAATTACGCATATCTTGAAAAAAACATGCAAAACAAATGTGACAGAAACACGGCTGAAAACGTCGAGTCACCCCAGGTTTCCCACCTGATCTTATGCTGCGTTCCAGTTACCTCGCAAGTCGGATGTCGGAGCTGGGAATGACATTACATCAGAGTTGACGGGGTTCCAGTAAACAAGTCAGAAAACAAAGATGGAAACCAACTGTTACCCGTGGTCAGTTGTCGTTAGCTGTTGTCAGCTGTTGTTAGCTATACCAGTTGAAAACAGCATTCACAGTTAGACGTTGGGCAGTACAACATATACAACTTATTTAATTTCACAAAAACAAAACAGAAGTGCTAGTAAATAAAACACTATGAGAGCTTTCACTGTTACTCTTTACTGCTGCTGCCATCTTGGATTCTGACGTTGTCATCAAGTGGGGGTTGGCGAGGATCGTCAGACTTTTCAAGTCGAAAATCCGACTTCAGAGTGGCATTCCAGATGAATTTCCGACTCAGAGCTCTGAACTCCCGACCTCCGAGTACAACTGGAACACAGCATTAGGCCTTGAAGTCGAGGACCTTGGGGGTTGTCGTCTTTCAGGAGGTCAGAAATGTACTCAGCAGCTTCACCGTTTAAATAAGATTTCTAGACAAAGAATAAATCTTAAAATGACCATCCATAAAGACTCTGAATCACAAACTGTAAGTAACATTCCAACAGCTAACATATGCCAGTGAGGCTAAACGGGGAGCTGTGTAAAAAGTAGCACCGTGCAAAGCTTATCTCACGGTTTGATGAGGATGAATGTTCTGGATGTTTCCGATCGTTCCCTCACACATCCATGAGTTTAATTCAAACCGTGTTTCTGGTGCGATGTCTTTATTACCTGTTGGAAACTTTTGTTCTCTGCTGCAGAAATAGTCGCTCAGAATAAGATGTTTGTTTTCCTGATGGCTCTGGTTTTATTGCAGGAGTCTTTCGCAGCAACGCCACAATTCCCCAACACGGTGACAGCATATCCTGTGTTTTATATTTGTTGTCAGGCGGTGTTGTGTTTTTCCGCCTGATTTACACCCTGAGAGATTTACATGTCTGTGTGCAAAAGGCTGAAGCACGCTGTGTTCTGACTGCAGCTGAGAGGACACAGGCGGGTACGTGACGCCTCCAGCCTCTGAGCGGGAGATGATCTCTGCCCCGGCTGTTTACTGAGAGGAAGATTGGTGGGTTTGGGGTGGTTCTGCATTTCTGTTTAACGCTGTTTTATTTAGTTTGATTTCTCAAGCTGTAATTCAGACTGCTTTTCAAACGCTGATACTCCAACACGGCCTCCAGTCTCCAAGAATATCTGTCCTTCATTCCTCCGCGGTTTACTTAGAAGTGCTGTTTGTGTTTTCATTTACTGGCTGTTTGTTTGTCGGGCCTGCTCAGTAATGCTTTCACTGAGTGCGGCTCTGTGCGGCGTCATATCAGCCGTGCAGAGTCTGGACCGGTCGTATTTATAGATCAGCCCTCCAGAAGCCGGAGAGTAATGATGCTCTACAAATGGGACTCATCCAAAACTTGTTCCCCCTCCTCCCCCTACACACAGTCCTGTTAACCCTGACACTCCCACCAACACAATCCTTACATGTAACTCATACACTTCACCACTTTCTAGATTATACACCTCCTCCAAGCTGCAGGTGTCAAACCCTTTTATACATCCTCTATACATGTAAGCCCATAACCTCCATTTCTCAGAGAAGGTGGCACCCTGTAATTGTCCCACCCTGGACCCCGACGAGAGTTATTTCAAACCAAACACAATGTGCCGGTAAAGTGCTATGAGCCTTTTAGTCAATCCGTCTTCGGCAGGCGACTTTTAGTTCTTAAATCAATCAATCATTTCTGCGTCTAATAGAGTTCTCACCTTACAGACGGCGGGAGCTTTGACGGATGTAAAAGGCTGCATGTGGGGTCTGCAGCCCTGTGAATGGATGAATCATAGAAACACGAGTCTTGGGTGGAGGGTGGAGGTTTCAAGTGCTGAGGAGACTTTAGTCCAAAACAACGTGCAAGAATCGAGAAAGAAAAAGACTTAAATTATATTGCTGTTTTTTTGTTTTCGTTTTCTTAATTCTAGATCATCCTTCTCACAGCGACACCAACAGATTTCTAACTGACCTCAATATCATCTTCATCTTCCTCATCATCGTTATCAAAGACGTTATCAAAGACCAGCATCACTATCATTAAGTCATTAAGTGAGACCGTTAGCTGAGTTTTACCCTATAATCACATTTTGTCGCAGTTAGACAAAAGAGCTTTTAACTCACACACACACACACACTTGTCAGAGGATGTGTGTGTGTGTGTGTGTGTGTGTGTGTGTGTGTGTGTGTGTGTGTGTGTGTGTGTGTGTGTGTGTGTGTGAGCGCGGGGACTTAATGCTGCACAACCGCAGCCATTTGTGCAAAATGTACGGGAGCCCGTTCACCACAGCGTCTCGTTTTTACTGATTCTTGCAACCAAACTATGATGACTGATGTGGCACAAGTAAGATCATCCACTCGCTTAATTCACGCCAATGACTTGTGTGTCAACAGAGGGTTTAAAAGCCGTGGATTGACGTTTATTCTAATTTTAACAGTGATCTTTGCCAATTAAACTGGCGGGATCAAGTGATAGATGTTTTTTCACAACTCACCAGATAATCCGAACTCCTCACTCATTTTTCTCCGGACTGCTACCTGTGGATACGAGAGAGGGGGGAAGAGTCTCCATCAAGCATGGTCGGAGTGAACCGCGTTCAGCAGATTGCTGCTCCGCCAGCCGTTGGAGATGTAGGCACCACCGTGTCTGAGTCTTCTCCAATAGCTGCGCCCAGATGACGGCCATTTCCAGCAGGATTTTCGGGTTACCTGAACCAAATTTAAAGACCTGTTGGTGAGGGGCGGCTCCAGGATATCCCTCCAGGAAACCGATTACAGACGCTCTATCCCAGCTGCAGAGCGCCTGTCCATCTGTTTGCTGTGAGTAAAAGGATTTATGTTTATATTTTCACACCAGTGAAAATCCTCCGGTCTGTTTTTATACATCAACCAGAATCTTCATGCTGATTTGTTTTCGTGACACGAATATTCACTCAAGTTAAGATATTTTCAACTCTCGCAAATTCCCGTCTGTTCAATTCAGCGAATAACTCATTTGCACAAATGATTTTAGTTGTGCTTGGTGTGAACGCCCCATTAAAGTTCTTCCTCTTACCACGAACTCAGAACGGCTCCGATTCTAAACGGCGCCAATTTTTCGCCGATTCCTACAGGATCCTTTTTTGATGCGAATTTAATGGTGGATTACGGACAGCAAGAATCGCGAGAACTCACAAGAACCCGTGGATTCATGTGCAATTGAGTGATATCAAGTTGTCTTTAGCCACATATGCTAACCATATAGGCAGTAGACTGTGTCCTTCCAGAAGAGGAAATCTACTTCTAGACTTGTAAATGAACATCCTCTCATGGTGTCATCGGGGTGAAATGCTGTCTATAAACCTTTCACTTGTTCATCCCAGCCATTTGCATGGTGTGAAATACGATCCGCCTGAAACACTTGCGATCAGCTGTGGAGTCCGCAGCAGAACGGAAAGAAGCCGGTGGAAATCGACACATTACCTTGAATGGTTACGATCAGCTACGATCGGAGGATACGGCCTTTTCGTAGCCGTTCTGGATGTGGTGTAAATTGCCACTAACAGGCTCAGGTTATCACTCTGTGTGTCTCAACATCACTGAGATCGGTTTCTCTCTAAAGAGAGCAGAGCTCGACTGCAGTGACGAAAACTCTAAAGGTGACTGCCTCCTGCTAAAATCGATGTGCATTACTTCTTTCACTCTCTGTACTTCTGGCTTGTATTTCTTCTGTCTTATTTAAAGCACCTTGAACCGCCTCGTTGTCTTCGTGCCCAAACGCTGTCAGCTTCAGTCACCGTGTGCACTAACAGCGGCTCAGTCCTGCCATCCTCAGCTGGCCCCACGCCCGGCAGCCTGTGGGAACTATCTGGAGCTTCAGTTCGACCCTGTTAAGCTAAAAATCACTTCAAATCAATGAATAAATGTTATTGGAAAGCTTTGCAAGGATATCCTGTGGTTTAAAGCGTTCCCTCGACTCTCTGGTAGCATCTTCTGCATAAAACAGAAGACATAAAGTTCATCTTCCCACACACAGTGCTCTCTTTATGCTCGCAGAGTAAGCAGATATGCAGCTAAACCTCAACGAGAGGCAGTGATTGTTGTGCACACAGATTGTGATTTCTCCATTCGCAGGATTTTAGGAGATTTTTGGAGTATTATTTGTGAAAATAGTAGATTTTGAAAGCAGAGAAGCAAAGATAGCTGGAGGGACTGAAGTGTTAAACGGATTTTTACTGAAGGCAGTTTTCTCCAAAGTGAGAGAACAGAGTCCTGATTTCTGCAGAGTCAATCTGAGGTCAATGAATGTCGTTATATGTGCTGCAGTGGTGGGCGGATTTTCCAACAAGCTTGCCAATTTTTGAGAGTTTTACTCCTCGAGTTTTAGCTGCATGAAGACTTAAAGTAAGAAAACAAGAAAACTGCCTTTAATGAAGAAAAATAAGAGACAAGATTCATAACGAGAGAGAGACAGCAGACAACATAAAGTTCCTGTTTACACTCTGAACTGCATTTTTATTACCGTTTGATCTGCTCTCCTGTTAATGTTCACCGTGTTAGAAACCTCGAATACTTTAGTAAAGTTGTAGAAGAAAAGAGTCGCACATTTATGAGGATAAACTCACAATAAGAGTCATGTTGTACATTTACAAAAGAAAACTATCAGTAATTTATGAGCATGCTCAGTTCACACAAGTCAAAAGTAAAAATGAACGAGTTCAGGTTAATTTTCTGTCGGCAGAGCCTCCGACACTTTGACTCCTAATCCTCAATCTACGACATTTCCTAAGAAACAATAAAAACAACAAATAAAAAGTGAATAATTAAACAAATAAAAAGTGAATTATTATACAAACACAAAAAGTGAATAATTAAACAAATAAAAAGTGAATTATTAAACAAACACAAAAAGTGAATAATTAAACAAATAAAAAGTGAATAATTAAACAAATAAAAAAGTGAATAATTAAACAAATAAAAAGTGAATAATTAAACGAATAAAAAGGTCTCCCTGAAACAGTCAGAGTTTTCAGCCTGTCGGTATTGATCTTGATTTGTTCATAAAACTCCAAAACTCTTGCGTCTCATTATTTTGCTTCCTTATTGATTTTATTTCCCTGTTAGTTAATTTTTTAGCTGTATGTCTATATTCTACTAATTACCATCAATCTCTGACTCATAACAAGATATGAATTAACTATTATATTTCAATCTTAATCGACGTGGAAATTTTGTAAAAACTCAAACAAAGCGAGAGTCTGGGGCTTATATCTAGTGGGAGGAGTCTCGTAGAATATAAAATTTACACCTGTGTAATATTTGTCATATTTGGAAGTAAGATGATCTGGATTTGTCGGGTAATTGTTGAGTCCGATTGGATATTTTTAGCGGGAATATGACCCTTGCTTAGTCGAGAGTGTCTGCAAAGCCGCCCTTCCTGACGCCGCAGCGATCCTGTTCTTAACGCTCGGTCCAGTTTGAGTCAGACTGAGATGAAAACACGATTTCAGTCAAACTAACGTGTCTTTGTACATCTAGAAGTCAATGTTTTTTTTTAAACATGATAAATCCATTTTTGAAGCGTCTCAGAGCTCAAGGTCGCGGCTCGCAGAGTCTCGTCAGGACAGAAGTCTGATCGTCTGCAGGATGAATAAATTATGTTGATCATACGATCTCAGAATCATCTTCACATCACGTATAACGAGGCCCCTTCATTCATCACACGGCTTTGTCATGCCACCAATCACATATGTGTGTGTGTGTGTGTGAGTCTTTAATGTCAGCCTCGTTAGACGCCGTCCTTCACGGGTCCTTGGTCTCCTCTCCGTGACGACGTGCAGAAACGTCCCCATGACAACCTTTAAATTACGGTCAATAAGTCACATTATCTCCTCCGCTGAGATTACACGCGCTCTTTATCCCAGTCATCAGCACACACACACGTCTGGAGACGAATCTCAACATGTTTGACCAGCCGACCGACTGCTGCGCCGTTAAAACCAGCCATCATCGTTCCAGGGGGGCGGCGGCGGTGGCGGCGGTGAAACGGTGAAATGATCAGCGGCAGATTGAGGCCTGCAGCTTGTCTTTATCGTCTGCCTGCTGTGGAGAGACACGTTGGAGCTGAGAGGATTGTGATGTAGTCGGAGAATTAGAATAACAATGACAGTGAGAATCAAATAGAGTCATGTCTGATGGTAATAGCCGGCAGATACTGAAGGTGCTTTTTCTGCTGATTTCCCTCGAGGAAGCTGAAATAATTCAGCTAATCCTGCAGCTTCCTCAGACACCGAGCGTCTCTACCTCTCTGAGCTGGTGTGTGTGTATTTGTGCGAGAGCCTGTGGGTGAAGTGCTGTACATATTCAGGTACAGTGGAGCCTGTGTGGAGTCTTTCTTTAAGCATGAGGTGAGATGACTCAGTAACTCCAGGGGGTTGTTTGAAGAGCTGAATCTGACGCGCTGACGGAGGTGTTTGACTGAGGGAGCGAGCTCGGGGTGATCTTCCACTTCTCTCCTCATGAATCTTTGTTTGAGGGAGGTTTTTTTTACTGTTTTTTTGAGGCTGCTGACAAACTTGTCAAGCGAAAGTGCAGAGAGAAAAACTTCAGATGAGTCAGGACTGATGAGGATCTCTAGACCCTGTCATGCAAAAACCAATCAGCATGTTAGATCGGTTCACATGGACTCTAGAATCCCATACAGTAGTGAGATACTCCTCTTAAACACCAGATCAGGCTGCAAGGTAGGGCTGCAGGATTTTAGCCAAAAATAAAATCCAGATTTTTTTCTTTGAAAACTCTATTTTCGATTTTTTATTCACCAAACTTCAATTAAAAAATAAAAAGTTTTTCTATCATCTCTCAAAACAAAACCACTGAAAACGATGTAGTGCATATGCCAAGCCAGTTAGTGGCGCTGTAAAGCACAAAAGAGTACAGATCTTGTGTATAAAGGTTGTTTTGGCGCCATAAGAGTTACTCTGTGTGTCACATGATCGTTTCCAGAGATACAGATAGACATCCACACGGAGATGAAATGGTCGTCGTTTACAGATTTATTCACTCTCTGACCCGTTTTCAAAAAGTACCGTTTACAGTCACCTGAAACGCTGTTTCCATGTGGATGAAACGCCGATACGACAAAAAACTTTAGCGTTTCCTCCTGAATTTGTTTCCGTGGTGACGGGTTGATTCCGCCTTCAGACAGACTTTACAGTGGGGAGAGGTTTACTCTTCATCTGAAACTGTGAAGTCGTACCAATTCAACACGACTGACTCGCTCTTGTCCTATTTAACCACTAAATTATCACCTTCTTTTGCAAACGCCATGTTTGTTTACAGTGGTGCTTGTGGGAAGGAGGGGCCTGTGGTGGCCTGGTGGCGCGAGACATGATAGAGAGGAAAATCGATTTGAGGATTTAAATTTTTTTTTAAATCTTCATAATCAAATAATCCGATTACGATTTAAAATCAATTCATCATTCAGCCCTACAGCAAGGTAGAACATATCCAGAGTATCATGATCTCATTTCCTTTATGAGTTCTATATCCTGATTTCTGTCAGCCCAATATAATGTCGACAAACACAAAAACCTGCTTAAAGCGGGAAAACTCAGGTCCACATGAAGACACTCTTTGGGTTGTAGAGAAGACAAGAAGGTTTGGTTTCAATCTGGAGAAAAATTTGACTTCATAAGATAAAAACCTGAACATGTGTTCAAAAAACAACATTTGGGAAACAATTGAACAGTTTTTTTGTCGTGTTATGTTCTGGTTTTGGTTATCTGAGTTTATTTCTGTGTGATTTTTCCCTCGTGTTCAGTTAGTGTCTGACCCCGTTTCCCTCATGTTCTCAGTATTTTATTCCTTATATCAGTTTTCGGTGTTTCCTGTTTTATTTTGTCGTAGTTTATTTCCTGTGTTTCTCGTCTTGTTTTACTTCCTCAGTTTTCCCTCCTCTGTAATTGTCTCACCTGTGTCTAAAGCTGCGTCCGAATTGCCAAGTAGTAGTCGAAGTAGTAGTCGAAGTAGTATCTAGCATGTCCGAATTGGCCACCGGAGCGAGTAGCATGCTACTTCAGATACTACTTCAGATGCTAGACACGCCCACATTGTAGGTTGGTCTCGGTGCATCCTACGGGCATGCTACTGACCCAAAATGCACCGCGGGCTTCTTCTTCGTCCTCTTAAAAGTTGTAGAAGCGCATGTGATGCTAGCGCCACCAGCTGCTCTGCCTATTTAAAAGTGTCGCGAACGCCGGCTGGCCACAGCAGCGCGCACCATGTCGGAGCAGCAGCAGCAGCAGGCGGGACCGCAGCAGTACAGATGTAAGTTTCATGTAACTTCACACACTGTCCTAAAAATGTGCGGTTGTATCTCTTTGTCATGTCATGGTGTCATATTTGCCCAAGTAATCATTTTATGAGCAAATATGTGGCGACATCATGGAGGTAAAGCTCACTTATTCCATCATTAAACTGCACAGCTGCAGTACTACAGCCAGGCCCGCAGATGAGGAGCTTCAGTTACCACTGTCTGCACGGGCGCAGTACCTACTCTCTGCCTGCGGGGGTCGTCTTTCCCCACCGCTCGTCTAGTGTGTCCGAATTGGGCCAACGTTTTTAGTATGTAGGAGTAGGATCTAGCAGTAGCACGTAGCAGTAGCATGTAGTATCCGAGCGGGCAGTTCGGACGCAGCATCAGTGTCTCACCTGCCTCTCGTTGCTCGTTCCCCTGAGTGTGGATATGTAGTCCCTGTCTTCCCTGTTTCTTGTGGTTCACCGTGTTGTATGCTCATGTTTGTGTGAATGTCTGTGTTTGTCAAGGTCTGTGTATGCCAGTATCTCCCCCAGTGTGTTTTCTTGGGTTTGGGAATTCTGAGTTGGACATTTTCGAGTAAATTTTGTTCTGTAATTGGATCCTTTTTCTGTTTTCCAACTTCACCAACATGACAATTTAACTGTTTTCTCCCCCGTTATTTTGTGTTTAATCCTCGGTTGACTAAGCACCAGTATAGTGCAGGTATTATTGCTCAGAAATACATTTAAGAGAAATATGAGAATTATGCTAAATAACATAAGATTGTCACAAATTTAAAGAGCAACACTTATTCTCATATTTCCCCTTTTTTATGTTGTTTCACAGATTGAGTGTTACGGTGACGACATTACTTGAATTATGTTGTGATGAAGGATTTTCTTTATCATTTCCCTGCAGCTTTGTGGAGACATTAAATCCACTCGTCTAAAAACGTACACTTCCTGTTTTTGTATTTGCCTCATCTTTGCAGAGGAAACAGTTCAAGTGTTTTCAGATAGCAGATGTGTTCATTCATCAGGAGCTGTAATCCATCGTACCTTGTTTGCCCACACGCCGACATCCTCCGATTAAGCTTCAGTTACAGAGTTTCACATGATAGATGTTCAGGTTTTACAGTTTCATATGTCATGCAAAAAGGCTAAATCACCACCTACAGGGAAGAAACCGGCGCTAAAATTATTCTTTGGAGGGTTTAATCCATGAGTCACTGTCACAGTGGCTGCTATCGCTCACTGAGCAAAACACTCCAAAGTCGTCTGTCATCCTGAAGTTCGGCTCAAAGAAACAGAAATCCATCATAAACCTTTTTTTATTCAGAGTGAAGTCCACTGGGGGAGTCTTATCTGCTTGTTTTTGGAGCGGGGCGATCAAGAACGTGCGTTTAGTTAACTAACTACAGGATCACGGGACAGGAAACGCCAGACTGACCTGACCAAGATTGTTCAAAGATCTAATACATGAAGAACACACGAAGGGTTAAATACTCCACAGATAGCGTGTGTGTGTCAGTGCTGTTTGCATACATTTAAATGAGCCATTCATTCTGGTTAAACATGCTGCTTTCTATGCAAATAAGCTCCACTGCAGAAGACATCAGATTTTCTCACACTGGCGCTAACAGCCAATTAAAGCCGAGTATTGACGGTCTGCTAAAAGCCTCGATATGCACAAACCTTTTATTCACAAACATGTTTGATCTGTTCAGAAATCATACGACTTCCATGAATGTGAAGGATAAAACATACAGGATGTGTATTTGGAGTGTTGCAGCAGCGTCGCTCATCACGCAGTAATTAGGTTTCCATTCTAATCAATACAGTAAAGCGTACAGGACGTGTATCAGCTCCATCGCAGCATCGTATCGAAGCAGCTCTGATAAAGATACACGACGAGTCGATTTTCTCAGCTCTACGCTTCCAACACGTGTCAATCCACACAGAGAAGATCGTTCTAGACAGGAAGTCAAGCACAAAAAACGCGCGTGTCATCCAGTATTTCAAAATAAAACACCATATGTGAACTCGCGACTGTGTATCAGTTCTTGTAGGTGAGAAACACTTCCTGGTTCTGGATTTATCAGTAACACAGAACAATCTGATGGTCGATCCCTGATCCATGTGGACCCCAACAGAACTTTGACCTGCTAACTCTGTCTGAAGGAAACAGCACAGCATAAAGGAACAGAGTTTACTTTATTAAACCTGCAAAAACACAAACTGTAAAATCAAGCTGATTTTTCAAACTCAGTAAAGGCTCAACAGTCACTGAATTACATCCTAATTATCAGGAAATCGACCACAGAAAGGAAAAACAACCTGTTGTGAGCTTGTTGTTTCCTCTATACTGAGCCCAGCTGACCGGGGCGGCACTACGCTGCTGCTACGTTCTAAATACGCTGATCCTGTATGAGATACCCAGAGCTGCTCTACGGAGCAAATACGGAACAACGCGCTAAATACGGATCCAGCTTAACTCTGACATAACTGTCTTCATAATAATCAGGCATTGAAATCAAAGATTAGAGCTCACAGTGCAGCTCTGAGCAGCAGAGATGCTTACAGCTCTGGCAAAACCGGAGCAAACTGTGAAGAGCTGCAGAGGTTTGTGCTCAAACCTCATTGGTGCAGTTTACAGCAAACTTTTAGTTAACTGCTTCAAAAATGTCAAACTCTGTCAAAGTTTTATTCTATATTGAAAGTTTAACGACTTATATTAACAAAAAAAGTGTTTTGAGACAGTTTTTTTATCTTAATTCTGAGCTTCTCATCTTCTCTTCTCTTCCATTATCCCACCATAACAAACCTCTCAGATCTCATCTCACCATTAAGTGTCTCATCTTGTTTTGTTGTATTTACTTCATCACATCTCTATTCCAGATCTCACCACAGAGTTGGATCTCATCATACCACACTCCTCCCTCTCATGATGTCGTATTTCATCTTATCGTTTCATGTTTCATAACCGCCTCTCATCTTGTCTTAAAAGCTCGTCTAAAACCACCTGCCCTTGGTGTGTCAGATGTATTTCTTTCAGAAGGTTAACATTGATTTTATCCAGACTTCAGTCAGCTCTGACTCCAGAAGACCTCTCATGCTCCATTGTTAAGTACTCCTTAACTTCTGAACCTCGCGGGGTTAGGGGAGACCGAGTGCTGTGGTAAATAAATAAAAGATTTCAGTCTGAACCTCGGAGTCTCAGTCAGAGTGAGAGGCACATCTGCAGCTTATTATCTACTCAGGTACTCCACAGTTCAGATGACCCGACAAGAGGATAATACCTGCTTGTTGTACAGTTGATTCGCTGCATTTTGAAAGGGACAAACTGTTAAAAGAGAAAGGACAGGCACACTTCAGCTGCATTTTAGAGAGAATTTGTTTCCTGAAGCGTCCTCTTGGAGCTGCAGTGAAGACTCTTCAGACCGCTCCAGACTTCACCCAGCTGATTACCACCTGAGCTGAGCCGAGTCGAGACTGCGCTGTGGAGCGTTCGCTTTCCACGCAGTGACACACCCTGTTCAGATAGACGTGTACGACTTCATGGAAGTGATTTTTAAGCTGAAATGTTCTCTTCTGCTGGAATCAAACAGCACATTTTTAGGTGCAGACAAACATTTTAGAAGTTGTTTCCCTCTCCTCTTCGCAACAAACTCGACAAAGCTCGACAAAGCTCGACTTTTTCCTTTTCAATCATCTGCACCGTGATCTTCTTTCAGCAAATCTTAGAGCTGTAAGTTGAAGGCCAATCACAGAAAAACTGCTTTGGTAGAGAGTGAGCTGTTGAAGAAAAGCTAACAGACCTTCAAACTGTTGAGAGTTTCAGACAGAAATGAGAATGTTGTGGATATCTGTGTACACGCTGCTCTGACTGACTTCAACTACTGTAGCTGCTGGCTTTGCTCAGATATTTGAAATGTTGGCATCTGTCCCCTGAGGCGTCTCAGAAGTTTAAATTGGTCTATATTTGCTGATTGATCCCAAAATTGAAGAGCACTGAATTGACAGGTAGGTTGGAACTTCATCAGCTGATGTGTGTACACAAAACATGATTATACAACATGATATGACATAATATAATTACACTGATTAAAATGATATAATAGGATATCATGATATGATAAGATACAATATGATATAAATTATGATTTATTACATGTCTGTGAGGCACTGAAAAGTGCCATAAATAAATAAAGAAGAATTTGAATTGAACCTGATATGAAATGACATATGAAATACTATCAAACATTAAAATAGGGTACTTATTACAGTAAAATATATAATATGATATGATATATAGTATAATATGATAAAATACTATCTTGCATCATTATATGACACATAAAATGGTATAAAATATGATAGCATATGATATGATATGATGATGATACAATCTGACAATATATGACAAATTATATCAAATGATCTATAATGTAAGATATGATGTGATATGATAAGACATGAAATGATGTATGATATAATGAAATCTAATATTACATGATTTATGTTATAGTCTATGATCTATGGTGCATGATATGATATGAAAGATAATATGATAAAATACTATATTGCATTCTGAGTGAAACATAAAATGGTATAAAATATGATAGCATATGATATGATATAATACAATCTGACAATATATGACAAATAATATTATCTGATCAATAATGTAAGCTATGATATGATATGATAAATAATATGAGAGAATATGACAAGACATTATGATATTATACATAATATTATATTACATGATGTGATACAATCTGATATTATATAGTGAATAATATGATATGAAATGATGATATAATATGATATCTTTAATGTAAGCGATGATATAAGCAATGATATAAGATAAGGTATATGATATCATATGATATGATAAGGTATAAAAAGACATATGACATATGGTATATGATAGGAAACAATCTGATACTATATGATTCATGATAAATGATATTGTATGATCCATGATGTAAGATATAATTAGATAATAATAAATAATAATTAGATATAATAAAATTTGATTTGATTTAATCTGACATAATAGGATAAATGATATGATATAATACATGGTGATTTAAATGATATGATATGATAGATAGATAGATAGATAGATAGATAGATAGATAGATAGATAGATAGATAGATAGATAGATAGATAGATTCGAAGTGATAAGGGTGTAGTCAGAAACCAAGCTTCACTGTCACAGTATAACAGTATAAAATTGTAATAAGCAGAGTATCTGCCACAGGCTTCTCTCTGAAATGGAGCAGGTGTGTATTGATAGGCGAGGGAGCTCAGAGCCAAACAGCAACAGAGCAGAGAGAGACTGAACACGAGTCTGGGGGGAATCTGACATTAGTTAGAGCCACCAAAACCTGGTACTTCATAGTCAGAAAAATAATGAATGCACGGATGGTAATTTAACAGGAAGTGAATGTTTGAAGGTGTTCTTTAAAAGCAGACATAAATGAAGTCTATCTTTTGAGGTTTTCAGAGATAACGGTTTGAAGGGAAAAAAGAGAAAAATATTTTTCAATTTTCCAGAAGCAGACAGAAGAGCCACTTCAGTCTGAGCGGCTGCAGATTCTCCGCGGGGATAAAAGCCAAAGATGCTGCCAAAAAGCAGCAGTAATGCTGTCATTACTGCTGGTGATGGGACTCCACAAACTGCAGATATAACTGTGTATGAAGTTCTGACTTTAGTTTCTCTCTATCAAGCGCTTTTGAATAAAACAGAGCAGTTTTATCAGACACTGTGTTCAAACAGAAAAGCTGCTACATCTCCAACACACCACGGCTAAATACGGGTTAAAACAATTAGACTGACGCCGTCACTGACTGCTTCTCTGCTGCAGGATGGACTCCTCAGAGCCGGTAAAAAGACTCTTTATTTTTGAGGTAACAGTGCGTTTGTAAATGCCAAAGAAAAGTCAAAGCTTTTTGGGGTCTGGATTAAGAGCGCGGCCCCGGGGTTGGGCGTGAATGAACCGTTACGACGGCACGGCGTCTGTTTTCTTTTCTGAGCCGTGAAAGGCCAAAGTTTGGTATTCAGACCGACTCTGAACAAATCTGTCCTGAAGCCAACCGGCGAAGGCTTAACCACGGATTAATTTATGAGTTTGTCTTGTAATGCAGAGGCAAATATCACCAGAATAACAACAAAGTAGACAACAAAAGCAGCCGAATGAATCTTGTGAAAATCACAGATGGCAGCTTCATTGGTCTCAGAGAGCAGTTTTACGAGTGTGATGTAAAGTCTGTCCGTTTTCCTCTCTGCCTTTACATCACCCTCATTTGAAGCAGTTCGGCTCCTTTTGTTTAAGCACACGTTGTCTTTGTTCTTCGGTCAAACTCACATCAAGAAAACATGATGGAATTAGATGAAATACACGTACAGATCTCTGCACAACATTTTCACGTTTTATATACAGAATTGGTGAAGAAATATAAGACTCAGACTGTATCCTACTTTTATTTTAAGCTCTAAATCAGGGTCGAGATTTTCGGGGCAACTGAAAAAGAGACGATAAGACGATGTGCAGCAAAGGTCAATCAAACCAGGATTTACTGCAGACATAACATGCAGAACGTGTCCCAAACCTGGACCCTGACGACCCAGTGAGTCTACAATGGATACTGGTCTTTGCTACATTCATGAAATACTCATCAAGCTAACAGTCCTCAATGGTGTATCTGGATCCTCAGTGCCAAAAAGTGGCACCAACATAGAAGTGCTGAGAGCTGCAGTTCCTCCAGTGACCACTTGGGGCTGTTCACAAAGAGCCAAAGACACCCATTGCAAAAACAGCTTTTTTTCCATATATTAAAGGGATATTCTGGCGTAAAATGAATTTAGGGTCAAACACAACGTAACACTGAGTCAGACACCCCCTCCAGAGATGAATGTTGCCGACCGCTTGCTTCTCTAATTATCATAAATGAAGATCATCAATCATAGAAGATCATAAATGTTCTTCCTTGAGCTGCGGCACCCCGCTGTAGTCCGTAATAGACTGAGGTCTCGCCACAAACAAGCGGCTTCTGGAAGAGAGTAGGTGAGTTGTGTTTAGTCTCTTTGCTAAAGAAATGAGTCAAAGTTAAAAAGATGTTTGGTGTCTAGTACTATGGCTGTGACCCTATATGTCCTGTTGATGAAGTTAGGTGCTGTTCTGAGCATTATTTGTGGCTATAGAGTGGCGTTTTGGTTGAGGGCGTGGCTCTCTGTATTGCTATTCTGCGGTCGTTACTAAAGTTGGTATAACTAACTCTGATTTTTGAGTGTTTGACCTTAGTTTTACACCAGAATATTCCTTTAAGGCTACAAGTTTGTTTCCGTCACTTTGTCTTTGCTTAGTCGTGATTTTTGGCTCATCTTGCTGACTTTTCACCGTCACGTGTCATTTATTGTGAATATCTTATACAGAAATTAAACCTTACACATCGTTAATCATGTCACTTCTTGGTCATTTATATCTGTATTGATTGTACAGCTGAAGAGAAACGAGGAACGACATGCAGCAGAGAGTCCAGATGGACGAGCTTTAATGGATGGATGACATTCTTCAGTGTTCATGTACGCTAACACGGACTCTTTGACTTTTAGAGTTTTTCTCGTTTTCCTCTCAAGGTGGAGAAACACATCGATATTTTTCACTCTGAAGTTGACGGATGAACTCTTCTTTAAATATTTTCCCTCTGATGCGGTGAAAGGACTCAGATGGATGATGTTGTTGACAGTTCTACAGCTGAGATTAAATATGAAGACGGCAGCTTTGCTTTGTCATCGGAGGATTGTGCTAGAAGGTGCACATTTGTGAGGATGGATGTTTGGATCGGAGACAGACATGAAGACGTGACACAGAAGTATATCTACACTCTGCTCCGACCTCTCTTGATACAACTTCTACCATGACTATTTCTGCCTGTTTCCTCTTACTCTCCGACTCTAAACACGATAAATCTGATTATCTCTGCAAACTCTGAGCCAACAGTTTCCCACAAATGAGTTCACAAACATGACACCGACAATAAATAAGATCTGAATTCAGAAAAGTTTCAGATATAAAAGTTGTGATTAACTGTTCGGGTTCAGAAACCCACAGAGGGTTTAACTCTCATAACCATGAATCCATGAACACAAACTTGGACTCTAGTCCTCGTTAATCTCAATGATCCTGGTACCAGAGCTGAGCACGTCTGATCTGATCCATTAGTGAAGTACTGAAGTTAAACTCTAGAGTCCTGAGAGGATTTTGTGCTGCTGCAGAGTGTGTATAAGTGATGTGTGTATATGCAGTGGTTAAAATGGTGTGTGTTGCCAGATGAATCTCTGCTAACGTCAAATAATGTTATTGTCATTGTCACTTTTAATGCCCACAGACCCTAAATGTGTTTTATGACGTGTTCAGGTCTGAGTTTCTGAAGGTAACCTGTGTTATGAGGTAGAATTCACCCTTCGCTTAGAACTGACCCAAAGCCACCAATGATCAATCATACGTTAGCAACGGTAACTAAGAGGGGAGCGCCAGGCAAACTTTCCCTTCTGGAGCAAAATGCCGAAGCGTTGCATGTGCAAGACTTGCAAGTCCATTGAAAGATATCCAGATAATTTGGGTAATGTTGTATTTTTCACCTTCCCCAAACCAAAAACGCAACCGGGGAGATATCGGATATGGATTGAGCAGTGCGGAAGACCTCACTCACAGCGTTTGCCAGGATGCTAACGCTGACTAGCACACAGTTGTTACCTACAAGACAGTAGTACAAAATTAATGAAAAGTTACAGATGTTTTAACATTGAGTTAGGTAGTTGTGTGCCTCAATATATCAGATAAACTCTAGAACTCATCGGGGTGAAATGACGTCTAAAAACCTTTCACTTGTTCGTCTCCGCCCGTTTGCATGGTGTGAAATACGATCCTCCTGAAACACGGAGTGTTTTATTTTGAAAAGAAGCCGGATGTTTTATTTTGTGTCTGTGCCCGACTTCCTTTCCAGCACGGGTTAATCTGTTCTGAATTTATCCGGCATGCTCCAGTGTCCGGAAAAAATAGAAATCTTGTGATCAGCTGTGGAGTCCGACGATCCTCAGAGGAACGGAAAGAAGTCGGTGGAAATTGACACATTAATTTGAATGGTTACGATCAGCTACGATCGGAGGATACGACCTTTTCGTAGCCGTTCCGGATGCAGCGGAAATTGCCTGTCACTCCCGAAATTTGTCACGATTTCCTTCAGAATATCCTTCACCAAAATTGCTGAGAAATGCATGTTGGCGGAATCGGCGAAGAAAGCTTACCAGGCCACCAACTGTAACCGGGGGGAGGGACTTAGTGAACCCCAACAGCAGCAGCACGTTAAAGCCTAGCTCTCTCCCTTGTTCTCAGACCTCAAAGAATCACTCTTAAAAAATAACAGACCGTCCCTTTAATTCGATAGTAAGAATATGAAGCGTCATGTCGTGTCAGGACTTTAAAGAGTTTAAACTAAAATGCAGAAATTGCAGATGTGATAATGAGATAGAAAGTTTTCTCTTTGCTTGTGTCGTCCTGGAGTTTAACTCGGAGCCTTCGGGGCACCGAGGACTTTACAGTCCATCAAAGTATTTAATGATTCAGAGATGTCTGCCCAGGCTGAGTCCCCGGGGTTTGTTCATCCTGTCTGGCCTTTTTCTGACCCGAGGACTCGAGCCGCCTCTGCACTCTCCATCTTCAGCCGAGGAACTTTGTTTTTTTATGGACAACATGAAGCTTTCGAACAAAAACACGGTGGTTTTCAGAGGAGGACGTGTTAAAGCTGCTTCTGTCAGGACGTGCCTGCAGGTCAGTCGATTTGAAGGATACTGTTCACAGTTTGGTGTTCGTCTGACTGAAAACTGCTCCTGTAAATGACTAGTTTAGAAAATGAAGTGTGTGTGTCAGGGAGCCGGGCTGTTAAATAAAGTATCGCTCTCCACATTAAAAACCGGTTATTGGCTGTGAGGACGAGTCTGTCATTTAGTCCAACACTCTGATCCAGACGGGAATGTGTCACAGCTGTCCAATAATTGCAGTAATATTTCAAAGTGATATTTACAGCCTTCAGAAAGTGGATCATACTGGGTTTGTTGCCCGTAAGCAGAAGGAAATTAGAATAAGTGGACACCAGTTTAATTCATGATCCAATCTGCTGCGTTTACAAGCTGTGTCTGTTTCTTTTTGATGTGTGTGGACTCTCTGATCCCGTTTCATCAAAACTCAATCAGGAGAACGAGCGATCAGATCTTTCTCTCTAACAGGCTGAAAATTTAAAAACTCAAGTCTGAAAATAAAGGAGCCGGCCGCTAAAACAGAGCCCTGACGTTAGCTTACTCAGTTTGAACACTTGGACTGCATTTGTGAATTTATGACTTTGCATCATAAATATATTTGCATCTAAAAATCGGTGTATTTTTTGCAGCTTTTTGCATCATTTGCAGAGCGTTTTGGTTGGTGCATTGGTTTGGAGACTTCTACATGCGGTTTTGGGTTTTTGAGTCTTTTTTTGAATTTGCCGCCAGATTCTCTCAAAGCAGAACGGAGGCGGATGAATCATAGCGGCAAAATCTGGAACGGCAGCGCTTCGCTCCAGAACGGCAGCCTGATCAAATACGCGAGCATTATAATCAATTTAATGCGTTCGCCGTCCAGCTCAGCTGTGGGTCGGATCAGATACACAAGGCTTCTATTTTTGCTGGACGCCGCATCAATTCAATGCAGTGGAAGTTGTATGCGGCTACAGAGTAAAATATCTGGTTAAATTTCAAAATAAAATAAAGTTAATACGCTGAACTGTTCTTCACGTGATAATGGGAGGAGCCAGGGTTGTGGGATGCTTGTGTTTATATACACTGCCGATTTCATTCAGTGTCTCACGGTGAATCACACGAGATCTCGTCTCAACTCAACTTTATTTGTAAAGCACTTTAAAACAACCACAGCTGAACAAAGTGCTGTACATAACTAGACAAAACAACAAGATAAAAAACAATCAAAAGACAATTAAAACAATGGATAAAATAAAAGCAGAATTAAAAGTAAAATATAGTCTGGAGCGTAGCGTAGCTGATCTGCATGTGGTGGAATCTTGGCATTAAAGTGAATTTTTTTGATTAGGGGAAAGGCGGAGGGAAGGGATCCGCGGTCTGAGGCAAGAGAAGGGAATTCGAGGAGTGGTGAGATTGCACCGGGGCTCGTGGAGGCAGAGCAAACACAGGTCAGTCAGAAGGACGGCACATTCAAACTGGAAATGTTCAACAAGAAGTAACTCGAGAAAACTCCAGCAGAGTCGGCCGACGTACCACATGAGAGACGGGAATAATCTGGACCTGGAGGAGCGTCTGAGCAGAGCTGAAGAGCTGCTGGTGGTCGCAGTGATTTGGTGCAGGTGTAAGACAGAGCAAGAAGGAACCGCCCAGAGAAGACAAGAAGACAAGAAGACAAGAAGACTCACCAAAATAAGAGCCAGGTTTTTGGTCCAACTTTAATCTCATGACATGAAATTTTAGGTCAACAGAGCGAAGGAAAAGAGAGTTTCTGAAGAGAACATGAGTTTCTATACCACACTGAAAAACACGACATGAAGGTATTGTGTTGATATTTCATCCGACATCCAACCCATGATTGTGAAGTGGAATTTTCTTTGAGTACTTCGTTCGTCTATGGTTTCATTTCTCTTTCAAAGCTCCATTTGCACAGATTCAGAACCTTTTGTACTTTGGAGGACGAGTCTTTTCAGTCTCATACAAATCCACTGTGTTTGTAATTTATGAGGTAAAATTCCACCTTCTGGACACACAAAGACCCTCGGATGATATAAATCTAGTCTGAAAAGATAGAGAGCACGCTGGGCCTCAGAGGAGAAAGTTTTCAATCAAACTAAAAATCATCCAAAGATAAAAATGTGGAGGACTGATGGATGAAATGCTTTGAAGGAAGATTTCAGAGTTCATCGTCTTTGTAGTGTAAATAAAGTGGAGACATTAAGGCACAGCTTCATCGTGTGTTTTTAACGTTACATTTTCCCTGGCATGTTATCGAAGAAAGACAAGAAGTGCAAAGTGGAGGATGACATGCAGCTCAGGGTCGAGGTGAGGACTACAACAAACTCTAGAGGATGATCCTAACCCTGAGGTGGACGTTGTGCAGAGTCTGAACCTTTTCATCAGAAATGTCATGAAAATAACAGACTTCTTTTTTTTCACTGTGAATGCGTCACACCGACCTGACGTCAGGAGATAATACTCAT